TAAATCCAACGCCTTCAAATTCCGTGATGGAACCTTTTCACCGCGCATGATGAGTGTCCATCAGTCAGCTGCCTCACGTCCGTCTTCCTGGACTTTGTTTCCTGCAAGGCGATTACGTGGTAGTTTATGTACCCTGCAGCTTCGAGAAGGGTGTGAAGATCGGCGTTGGTGGAGACTGTCCTGGCGTTGTAGGTGCAGAACATGAGACAATTTCCATGACGAGTGTTGACCAGTCCTTTTCGTCCAAAATCCATGGCGTCCTGTGCAACCTGACACTGGTCTTGATGACATCCGACGCCGTGGATGTGATTCAATGTGCAGGGCTTCTTTTTCTCTTACATGCTGTACTGGCAATGAGTAAAAAAATCTCCCCAAACATTAGCAGTGCCTTGCTAGGGCCCTGCCAAGCTTTCACCATAGGCAATCGCTGACCTTATGTGGATCAGGAAGCCACCTAGCGACTGAATCAGCCAGATGATGGTGCTTCTGACATGGCCAACTCTTAGCTGGGCATCCGGGGAACCGGAAACGTCGAACTCCTTCTCAGCTTGGAAGACCCTGCTGAGGATAAACCTCCGCTGTACGTACGCAGTTCGACACCCAGAGTCACCCCCGCCTTTGAAAAGAACCAGCTAGAGGGAGAAGTAGAGACGCAAAAATTGACAAATTGCGGGTATTGCATCTTTTGCGCAGTTTCCCCGTTGATGAACTGGCAATTGGAGAATTCACTAATGATATCTTACTCAAGATTGCATTGTGATGTCGTTAACATTATTTATGCAATATTGAAAAACGTTGGAACCCCGTTTTGTGCAGCCTTGAAGAACTAGTCGCTGTAATATACTACTTTTAGCTTGTAGTCGGTCGGTAAGAAAAGTTTGAATTATCTTAATAACCCCCAGTAAATCTTGGCAAACCAGGTAAGAGCAATCGCCCATGTTTCAGTGAAGATCACCTTAAGCGTTCAGTTATTTACATTTAACATCACCTAAAAGCAAAACCACTCATTAACTAAATAGTCAAGCCTCGCAATTCTCTTTTAAGATCACGACTATGAGCAACCTATTCGGTACTCAAAAATAAATTACATGGTTTATTTACAACTTTAAATATTATGGAGAGTAGTGCTTACCATGTTCATCGTGTATTATTCCAAATCTATCTGAAATAGGTTTGCATGGAAGTTTTTGTTTGGGCTCCCGCCGATTACGATGCTGCGCGAAAATTCTTGTCAAAGGAATGCCATAACAGGAAAGAAAACTCCTTCAAATTGACTCTGTAGCTGGGTGAACTATTCAGTACAATTTCCCCAAGATTCCCATGATCTAGAAGGGGGAATTTCTTCGAGTTAAAACGACTACAAGATATAAG